TTATCGTACATTATATACAGTGTATATTGTGCGTATGTGTGTCTATGAATATATTCTAGTGATACTATACTGATGTCTAAAAATCCAAAGTGACCTCTTGAAAACCCAGTAAACAAAACTGGAACCAAAAGAAAAATGAATTAATTGTTCAGTTAATAAAATGTCAGAAAAAATAAAGCGGGGAAAAAAATGCCGTTTGCAGTCTCTCAGAGCAAAAGATGATTTGTTGATACAATAATTTCAGTCACACCAACATTACAAAATCCAAATATATTCTGTTCACAACAACATAAGAGAAAGAAAAGAAAGAAATCTTCACATCTCAAAAAGCTGGAATCAGATGTTTTTTCCTGCCTGAAAATCAATCAGTCAGTTCTAGATCAGTTTTCTGCTGATCATCTAATCTGTTCATCGACTAATGATCTGAGCTCCACGTTTCCAGCACGTGTCTTGATTGACTGTATGTCTCTTTACCATGTCTGAGTCTGTACAGTATGTTCCCTCACACTGTGAAGCGGGATTTTACGGGGGGTACGTGAATGCAGCATCTCTCTCCTCATGGCATCCAGGGCTTTTGTTGGTCCCCGGCTTTTGTTGTCTCTCCCTCCCTCTCTCTCTCTCTCTGCTGGATTTATGTGTCCAGACTCACTTCAGTTATAATTCACTTCCCTCTGCTGCACAGCAGATACCAGCCCTTATTATTCATCCACTGGAGTGACACTCAAACCAACCATGTGGACATTTTTGCATGTTGACAATTATTTCTTCCAGCCTTTAATACTGTTATTAATTTACTCAGGCTTACCTAAATGTATAGCACCCCCTCCCTTCCTCCCTCCCTCCCCAACCTTCCTGTGAATAGATGCTTTGTTTGAGGATCCTGGTCCCAGTCTGGCTGCAGGCCTACATAGACGGGACCACTGCTGCTGCTGCTGCTGCTGCTTTGCATTAATCAAATACAGTCTGAGAAATATCAATTCAGGCCCACTTAACAGGTCTGTTCTGCCGGGGTCAGCTATGAAATGAGACAGTTATCATTCAGAGGTGTCTGTTAACTGTCAGCGAATGACAAATGTTGTCATCACGCAGAAAAATTACCAAAAAATGTAATTCAACAATATCAGACAGGAATAAAGTGATGTTAAAATGAAAACCAATAATCCTGATGTTATTGATTAATCACTTCTAAATGATTTCTAAGAGACTTATTAATTATTTTCTGTTTTATATCTTTTAATTTGGATTTTTGTGTGTGTGTCAGACAAGACAAGCACTTTACAGACACCAAATTTTTAAGTTTGACATTTTGTCGACCATAAAATTAAGTTGTGGGCAGTGGTTAGAGTTGTCGCCTCACAGAAAGTGGGTTCCTGGTTTGAACCCAGGTTTGGGGAGCCCATCTGTGTGGAGTCTGCATATTCTCTCTGTGTCATCGTGGGTTTCCTCCAGGTGCTCCAGCTTCCTCCCACAGTCCAAAGACATGCAGGTTGTCCGTAGGTGTGAATGTGAGTGTGAATGGTTGTCTGTCTCTATGTGTCAGCCCTGTGATAGTCTGGTGACCTGTCCAGGGTGAACCCTGCCTCTCGCCCAGTGTCAAAGTCAAAGTAAAAGTCAGCTTTATTGTCAATTCTACAATATGTACAGGACATACAGAGGATCGAAATTGCTTTTCTCTTCAGACCCTCGGTGCAGACAGTACACTTGACATAACAACAGTGTCCAGTGGGATAGGCTCCAGCCCCCCTGCGACTCCCAGCAGCATAAGCGGTTACGGAAAATAATGAATGATTTCATTTTTTGGATTTGGAGGTTGAACCAAAGTTGGTGTCTTCATTTTTCTCCTCCACAGTTGAGGAGGAAATTTAAATTTTTGCCCTTTAAGTTTAGCCTTCTCACTTCCTGTGGGGTACATGTTAAGAGTCTAATGTCCTGTATGTTCAATATGAAGAAAATTAACACTTAGACAGTCTCAAAAACCAAAAGTCTGAACTCTCATTGGCACGAAGGAAGGAAAGTTCATTCATAATTAGCCTCTGGGGCTGAAAAATGAAGCCGATGTATATAGACGTGCCAAAAACTGCAGTTCCTCTAATGGCCACTTTAGGCTGGCTCCAAAAGCGAGTCAGTCCCTAAACAATGCCCAACTTTACAGCAGAAATAAACATGTTTACAGCCTGGTACAAAAAAACAGTTTTGGTCTCTTTAACTAGCTTCAACATTCATGACAACTGTATGGAGGCTGGATTTTTTATATAACTCAACCTTTTGGCGGAGGGCGGGGTCAGATTAGTGACAGGGTGTCTGGGAGGCATGGCCACAGTCTATGAGCCGGATCCACCCCTCACTCCTCCACAGCTCCAGTCTATCACCCAAATATGGTCACCTCTGACTCCTAAAATCCAAGATGGCACTAGCTGAAATGTCAAACTTACAGCTTTAAAATGGGAGTCCACAAACCAATGGATGACATCACAGTAGCCATGTTGATTATTTTTAGTCTCTGATATACATAGAAATAACCTTTAAAAATACATTGAGGAACAGGAGCCTTCTTTAACACATGTACCAAGTGTACGTCATAAAAACACACAATAGAAAATGAATAAAACCAACAAACAAAAAGTATAAAAGTAAAAATTAAACATTACAATAAACAATAAAGATTACAGTCAGGAATAAACAGAATGGGGTGCTGTGTACCCGTAAGTACTACAGCTGCATGGGTTTGAATCTGGCACGGGCCCTTTGCTTCATGTCATCCCCTCTCTTTGCCTTTCCTGTCCCTGTCCGAAAAAGAGTCTTTAAAAAAAATATAAAGAATCTTTAAAAGGAAAGACAAAAAATAGTGTCAGTTGTCTGGGGCAGTGGTTCTCAACTCGTGGGTTGCAGTCCAAAAGTGGGTCACAGGTCCATTCTGAATGGACCACAAGCAACTTGCGACATTTCAACTTTATAAAAAACACACTTAATATTGAAGTACAGTGAATGTCTGGCACAGAGCTTTGAATTTGAAGTGCCGTTTCCTGCTGTAGAGTGACTGACTAACAGACAGCTCCTTGACAGAGACAGAAAACTAGCTTGATGACACGGCCAAACTGTGTGGACCTTAAAATGATGACTTAACATAAATCTGGACCCCGTGGCTGGACCAGTTGGGAACCACTGGTCTAGGGAGCATGAAAGTGTGCGTGTTGCTGATATTTGTTTTGAACAGGATGAGTTTTCAACCAGATGGTGGTGCTTCTTAAAGTTTCTTATTTTTCTGTCCATAGTTAAGTGGTTCGTTCTACCTGTGGAGTATGGACAATGTTCACATTATCATGTATAATAATAAATGAAACAATGAAGAACACAGTAATGTCCTACAGTAACCATAGTAGCTATGTGTGTGTAAGACAGAGAGAGATCATGTTACTTGTGTCAGTTTCCTCTGTCGTCAGGCTGCAGTGTTGGGTTTCTCAGTCCTGGATCTCCTGCAGAGATAATACCTGCAGAAAAGAGAAGAAACACTGATATTAAAAAAACAAAGAGTAGAGGACAGTACACTTGGGAAGATTCAGGTACAGCCGAGTGGTCGAGTCTCCCAGGGAACCTTTTCAAATAACAATCCAACTGACTCCAGGTCAGCAGTTAGGGAGGACGTCTCTCTCATCTGCAGGTAAGACTACTGGAAGTCCTTCTGAGTAATAGAGGACATATGGGACACCTATTAGAGCAGACATAAATGACTTGATTTGATCTTGCAAAAAGTAAAAATATCTTTTGTCACAATAAAAGCTCATTATTAACTAGAAAAAAATAAGTTTTAAATTCATCTATGGTAAATAAGAAGAGGCTTGAATGTTGTGTCTATAGTTTGTTTATAATATCTTCTTCTGTGCAGTGGATCGTTTATGTGAACTTACATTTTTATTATTTCTGACCTCCTCAGAAAAGTACAACTACCAGTTGCTGTTTACAGAACTGCAGGCCGTTTCTTGTGTGACTGTTCAGGCTGCGGACTGATTTAATGGACTTGAACTCCTCTCAGTATTTATCTTGTTTTGACCTGGGCTTTTTTATTCTTTTACCTGCCACTAGACTTTGAGTCAACATTTTCTGCATGTCTTAACCATAGGTCCTAATATGACTACAAATCTAAACTCTCACTAGCAGCCTCTAGAGGCCCCAGTGATCATTACACACCAACAGATGAAAGCGTGGCAGAAGAAACCACATACTGATTATCTTTTTGTAAAGCCTCATAAGTTGTAAGGCTAAAAAATGAATGTGTCCTGAAGCTGATGTTTGTAAATGTTAGAAGGTCAAGGGGTTTACTGATGATGTAATTATTCCCTAAACCAGCACATGTAAAGGTGCTATACTGATCAGAAAACTATTGAACATTAAGTACAGAGCTTCATCTGTATCCATCCACAGGAAACCTCTCACACTGGAGCAGCTGTGGTCTCTGTCTGGACCAGGGGTCGGCAACCTTCACAATCAAAAGAATAAATAAAAAATCTGTCTGGAGCCACAAAGCATACTTGAGCCTTATAATGTAAGTAACACAGCCTAGTAAGTCTTAATTAGCACTGATATGTTTTACTACAAGGTGGCTGCTCTGCAGTGGGCTATCGGTAGGTTTACGCTGCAGTATTCGCAGTGAAAGCAAACAAATCTGTCCACACACTATAAATCCTTTATTTTCCTTAAAGACTTCTTTAGTTTTTTTGAATTTGGAATCCATAACTAGTCTAGCTAGGAAAACTTAAGACAAACCACTGGTTTTAGGGTTCAGCAAAATTTATAGGGAAAGGTGCCAGGCCACAGAATTTCAAAAGTAAAAACAAAAAATCCAACTCTTATTAATTTCAAAAAAAAATTTTTATCAGAGCCACAGGGAGCCACTGGAGAGGGGCTAAAGAGCAGCTCCGGGGTCTCAGGTTGCCTCTCCGTGGTCTGGACTCACCCTCCACCCTCTGCAGACCTGCTCTTGATGGTGACCTGCCTCACTGGCCATGGCAGGATCTGGTGTTGCTCTGAGGCTGCACGAGTTCAGAGAGTCTCAGGACTCCAGACAGCTCGATGGACCGACCACGTTAACACAGTGAGCAGCATCAGCAAACCAAACCTGGAGGACTTAACACCAAAATTATATTCAATCCTACTCAGAGTGATGGTGACTTTGTGCATTCAACTTTTTACTTCTTTCTGCTGTAGATTGTCTCGTCTGGGGAGAGACGTTCATGGATTGTATCCAGGACAGCTGGGTAGAGTCCATGTTGTCCACTCAAAGGATTGTGGGTAAGGCTGTGTGTGAATGTGTAGCTGCAGACACGTCCTGTTTGTAGTGTACACGACACGCCCCTACAAGCCCCGCCCACCACTAGTACAAGACATAACTGCCAACGCAATGGTTATCTAAACCCTGCTACAGTGCCGCATTGTAATGAACAAATATGGGGCCAAAGATAGCATCTAACCCTGCCCATTACCCTAACCCTAAACTGAACCACGTCTTTTAACCTAACATATATATATATATATATATATATATATATATATATATATATATATAAACTTGCATGGTAATTATTTGTTTCAATGTTTAAATACTGTATCTTGTGGACCAATTAGACAACAAATGTCCACGTGTAATTCTAATAACAATCGCAATAAAATACACCACTCTGTCTCTTTTCATGTTGCAGCTACAGTCTTCACAGCGGACGGTCTCAGTCGCTCTACAAGTCTCTTCAGTCTCCAAACCCTCTGTGTGAAAACTACCAGCAGAGTTTTGACGTCCGCACCCTGAGAGCGCTGGCTGTCCTCCGTCACCATCCTGCTGTCCTGGAACAGCGCCCCCCTCAGACGGTTTACCAGGAACAGTTTGGTCTTCAGTCACCTCTCCTGCCTCAGTAGTTCAGCACATTGTGCTTTAAAGCACAGTGCAGGAAGAAGTAACTGTAGTAATACTGCAGTATAGAAATACTCTGTTTCAAGTAAAAGTCTTGCATTCAAAACTTTACTTCAAGGGACAGTTCACGCCAAAATCAAAAATAAACATTTTTCCTCTTGCCTGTAGTGCTGTTTATCAGTCTAGATTGTTTTGCTGTGAGTTGCCCAGTGTCAGAGATATCTGCTATAGAGATGTCTGCCTTCTCCACAGTATAATGGAACTCAACAGCACCCAGCTTGTGATGCTCACGATGCCAAAAAATATTTGAAGATAATCCACAGACATTCCTGTGAGCAGTTTCATGGAGGAAGTAAACCTGCCAATCGTATCACTGCACAGAAGGACAAGTGCAACAACTCATGCATGAGAGGCTTGTGCTCATGACAGCATGAGGAGCCTGTTCTCACTCCGAAGTCGTCGAAATCTGGCGCTTGGGCAGTGACTTGCGGCATCATAAACCGACGAAAAAAGGCATCTTTTAACGTCGGCATGATACGTGGCCGGTTGCTCTTATAGTTTGATGGTGCCTGGCGACGTCAGGGGGAAACGCAGCGGAACAAGGACGAAAGTTAAGGCAGTGAAAGTCTGACGTAGTGCTTTTATTTTGAAAGAGACATATGTTTCCTGTGAAAACAGTGTATCTTAAAATAAGACAATGCATGTAACAGGCTGAACTTAACACAATGTCCCAGAACGTCAACAACCAACACACCCATGGTACCTTGCACGTCGAATGTGGACGTGGAAAGTCCATGACCAAATGTCAATACGTGACGAGGTTGGAGTGAGAATGTGTTGGCATGAGATGTAAACATTAATGGTGTCCTCCTCGGCTGCTAGCTCAGTGGTGCTAGGTGAGCTAGCAGTAGATGCATGCTTCTGTCTGCGCAGTGATGCGCTTGGTGGGTGTAGTTCAGTAGAAAGAAAATAGTTCCTACATGAAACTGCTCACAACAAGGTCTGTGGATTATCTTGAGTAACCAGGTCATGATTTCTGAGATATTGCTGTTAAGCTTTTCAAAAAATATATATATTTTTGGCGCTGTGAGCACCACAAGCTGAGCACCATCTAGTTCCATTATACTGGAGAGAGGCCAGACATCTCTACGGCCCATATCTCTGACACTTGGCAACTCACACCAAAACTATCTAGACTGATAAACAGCACTGCAGGTGAGAGGACAAATACATATTTTTGATTCTGCGGTGAACTGTCCCTTTTCCCACGGTCATTTTTGACATTCTTTTTCATGCAGGATTTACTGTAAAGACACCTCAGGTTTTCCTGCATGTCGATAACATCTCTACGAGCGTGTTTCATGTAATTCAGGTATGTGACGTGTTCACACAAAGAGCTCTTTGTCCATTTTTTTTTTTAAACAACGTGGGTGCTTGTTTACAACTTTGCACAAATATTTGATGAGACAGTGCTTCATTTTAGAATTTATTTATATTGGCCTGCAAATAGAAATAAGAACATCATGTATTAATCTACAAATTAATGTAAATAAAGTCACAGCCTCTCACAGAAAATGGCAGATACTTATTTACTCACTACAACTGTTCCATAAACTCACTCCTTTAATTGAGATATAATGTAGTTTGGCATTGGTCCTCATCTTTTTTTTTCTTTTTTTTTTTAATATAAAAACACCCCTCAAAGCATGTTGACTTTCTCTCTTTTGAAACAACTTTTGGATACTTTCAGGTAATAATCGTTTATTGCTCTGTACATAATTTCAGCTGTAGGAAAGTTGACCAAATCTTCAAATTCAAGAGTCTTTAGTTTAATAAATAATGAGTTAGTTGGTTCTCTGTATGACGTTTTGTTCACAATTCTTGTGGCTTTCTTTTGAAGTATGAAAACTAGATTTGTATTTGTTTGATATGTATTTCCCCACACTTCCACACAAAAAATAATGTATGGCAGAATAAACTAACAGTATAAGGCGGAATTTATACTTCTACAACATAGGCTCTGCGTTGACGTAGAGCCTATGTTGTAGCCTGACGTGCACCTTCCCGGAAATGTACTATTTCTGTAAGCTGAAACCATTTCCCTCAGTGGATGCAAAGTATTTATTTACTTTAATTTCACAAATAAGAAACAATAAACTGTGAAGACAATAAAGCCTCCACAAAAATAGCATTTCAAGTCTTGTGTGTGATTTATCCTGGCTTCATACAAGCAGAGGAAATCTCTGCTACTCACAAGGCTCATATATACAATGTAAAATGCCATAGGCTTGTGCTAATAATGTTAGCATGTTATATTTGTTTGGAAAACGTGTTTAGTATAAGACAGTTGTTTTGTCAGTGAACCTTGTGAGCTGTAATGGAGCCAAATTATGTAACGTTACCTTTGTTAAATGTTGCTGTTGTCCCTGGCTCCATATGAGTAGAGAGAAGTCCGCTAGCCACTAGGCTAATTTATACAATGTAAAATGCCATAGGCTTGTGCTAATAACATTAGCATGTTGTATTTGTGGGGAAAATGTGTCAATTAGAAGAAATATTTCATATAGTGAAATCAGTTTGTGTATGAAGTGTGTTTTGAATCAACTAAACTTTACAGCACTTCACTGCTGACTAGTGTTCTGGAGGTGTAACTGCAGAGTGACACAGACACCACCGCACAAGTATAAATGCTCACAACGGCATAGGCCGCGTGTGTAGGCTACGGCGCAGGGTCTGCCACACAAGTATAAATCCCTCTTTAGGTGTATAATGAGGCTAGATTTAGAAGGTCTTTCACTTTTGATAATATTGCGGTTGACTTATTATCTATTATGAAGCCTAGACATTTCATTTCAGTTTCAACTTTATTTATCACATGTTTGCTGTTTGAGTTGGCCACACGGTTACCAAAAATCACTTGAATTCAGTGTCAGTTTATTAGAATCAACAGTAACAGTGCACACGCATTCAGGTGTCATACTGACAGTGATGTGACTGAAGGTTTAGTGATACTGAAGTGGTACAAAACTCTAGACAAAAAACTGGGACATGTAAGGGATAATGTATAATGAGCCGGTGAATACTGGGAAAATAACTCCCGACAGGGGAATAGAACCCCGACGCGCAGCTACATAGCAACTGTGTAATAAAAAGTTTTAAGGGTTTAATAGTAAAGCTACTGTATTTATTCGCCTGTTCCTCAGTCCATGCAGTATAGGATATATATGTTTGGACCAGGAACAAGAAATTCAAAATTTTAGTAAGTATGTTTGTGCACAAACGATATAATCAGTGATTACACCCAAGTGTTTCCAGTTATTCCATTTGATTAGATCTCTGCTCATCAAAGTTCATGCACTAATGATAAACATGTTTTCAGATGATTCAGACCTGATGAAAAAGAGAAGGTCACTGATGATCACCACACAGTCCCAGACTTCCTCTTACGTCACATGTTGATCATCAACAACAACATCATGAGATCATATTTCAAATCCTGTCACTCCCCAGTGGCTGCATAAACTACATTGCACAATGGAAAATCCCAGGCCCATTTTTCGATCAACAGCAAAGGACTCTTTGATTATAACTTTTAATTTGCTGGATTTTACTATGACAGTTTATTCTTTTAGCAGTTTAATCTTCTGATGGTGATGATGAGATCTTTTATTAGCTGTGAAGAGCTGAATGAACTCATTCCGAATATCCCAAATACTCAGCTCAGTTGCTAGAAAAAAACGTTGGCTTTGTACCTTTCTGCAAACCACAAGTACATTACATTTGTACATTTCACACATATCATATCAACCTTTCTGAAGTGATGTAGGGTATGAGCTGACTTCCATCTGGAGGTGGAGGGGATGGTGCATGGTGTGCCACCTACATGAGATGCCTGCCAAGCTGCAGACCACTGTTAGACACCAAGAATATTTTTTTGGCTACTCATTTATGTCTTTCCTGCAGCTTTCTAGCCCCTTAACGTTGATGTTTTTTAACAACTTATTGCTGTTTTTAAAGCAGCATTGAAGCTCCCAATTGCTCCCAAACATTGATGTTTTTTGGCAACCCACTGGCAACTTTTTAGTGACCCTTCTCGGTTTTTAAAGTGGCTTTTTGGCCCCCAAACGTGGTCGTTTTTAGTAATCTGTCGCTGTTTTTCCAGCGGGGATAGTGCTAAAAAAGTGATTGTTTTTTAACCAAGACTTTGCTGCGTTTCCTGCTGAGATTGTGCCCCCAAAACCGCTCATTTTGAGCTGGAACTTCTTCATCTTTTCAAACCATAACCAGTTGCTTTTTTGCCTAAACTTAACAAATTGTTGACCACAGCATTGTTGAATCATAATGTTTCATGTGTCCGCCACATACTAACATGCAAATGTAATTCTGTGGTATATCTTATTTTGACAAATGTATTTTTGTTGTTTTGCCTCCAGCCATATAAAGGAATGGGCAACCATGATGAAAATACATAAACTGACTTGTGTCAACTTTATTACATAATCCTGAACAATTTATTGTGTGCACTGATGTGTGCCATTTGCAAACAATTATTCCAATTAAATAAGTAGTTCACTGACAGAAAATGAACAATTATTTAGGTAATCCATCAGTAACTTGAGTCACTTTTCAAGCACAGAGGCCGAATATTTACAGGTTCCAGCTTTTAAAAAAATGAGCATTTGCTGCAGTTATTTGTGTCATATGGTAATCTACTAAACATCTTTTAATTTTGGACTGTTAATTGGGAAAAAATAGCAACTTGAAGGCATCACATTGGGTTCTTGGAAAGGAGACGTCAATCAAGCAGATATTCCTAAATCATAATCTGGTCAAATAAGTGACAACACCTGTGTGGGTGTGTAAGATGAGACAGTGCTCGTGCAAAGAAACAAAAGGCTTGTTCATGTCCTCAGTTGTGAGATGAAAAGCACCTGTGTAGGTGTGGTGTGTTCCCTACTGAGGTCTGTGTGTCCCTTAACTGGGGTCATCACGTAACAAAGAGCTGAAGTGTTTGGGGCGAAGAGTGATTAACAGCATGAGTCTGCAGAATGTGACAGCTAACCAGTCTGACAGCCTCACTGATCGTTGAGGGGGGAAAAATAAAACTGTTTTACTAAAGAGAGGGC